TCACTAATTTTCACTTTTTTTAATCCACTGTTTTTATTGTTCTTGAGTTCATAATTTTAAGTTTACTTGTTTTTTACTATTTTTAGATCACTAATTTTTACTATTTTGAGTTCACAATTTTATGTTTAATTAACAGTAGGCATCAATTAACAGACCACATCTCACGCTTTTCTTCAACTCCTCATTCGTTTGTCTTCCAATTGTAATTTGACATCAATTTTTTCTATGAAAATCTACAAAAATTATTAGGTTTTAAGGTGATGACGATTTTCCTAACAATACTAAATTTGACGGCTCTTATGCAAATGCAATCACAAATAGGGGTAGGCTCCAACTCTGACGGAGCTAGAAGGCATGTATCCGATCTCCGACTACAGTTGGAGTGAATTTTACCCCCGACTCTGACTCTAAAGTACTATAACTTCGTTTTTGACTCCGTTTGTCGGAGGCGGAGCAGAATTTCATAATTGGGACATTTTAATTGGGTTTATATATATATATATATATATATTATATAACTATTGTAGTACTTGAGAGAGAGCTTTGGAGATGGCAGATCTAAAAACCAAAAAAATATGATTTTCAAATCAGAGAAAAACAAACAACAGCAGAGATTTATGGTCAAGAAAAACATATTTGGGTCTAGAAAAAACCAGATCTAATTGGAAGGAAAGGGGTACACCATAAACACTTACTAGATCCAAGAAAAGATTTCTAGGGTTATAATGGATCCTAATCTCTCCCTTTTGCAAAATCAACCATTTTCTTCTTCAAATCCTCAAGGGTCACCCTTCTTTCTCGATCTTCTTCTCCTGTCATTTCCTGTGTTGCCATCGAAGGAGACTGCTTATCGAGGATTGCACCTTCGACTGAGATCTAGGGTTGCTAGTCAAGTGGCATGTCGTCGATTGTGTGTGTGAGAGAGAGAGAGACGGAGGGGTTACACTGATGTGTGTTAGAGAGAGAAAGAGAGAGGGAGGGAGACAGAGGTGAGAGAGAGAAACAGAGGGGAACATAGGTTGGGGATTTAGGGTTAGGGAAGAAAATATGGGAGAAGGGAGTGATTTATATTTACTGGCTATATCCCGTGAGTAAAGTCACTGTACACTTAATTATTACACTGTGCATGCATTGGAATATGTGTGTTGAAGTGTGTGTATGTATGTGCATTTTTATGTTGTAAAGTGTGTGTTGGGTTTTTTGAATTTTGGGGGAAAAGTGTGTGGAGTGTGTGAAATTTGGGTGGGGGGGGGGGGGGAGGGTGGGAGGGAGGAAATATACCTCCCCTACGTTTAAACACCTTTCTAATTTATTATATAAATATTCAATATTTCAATAACCAAAATATACAATTGATATATTAGGAATTAAAATGAAATAAACTTCATACTTTGAGGACTTACGGTACAATTAACCCTCATTTTTTTAAAACTATTCATTGACCATAGATTTATAGGAAGAATTGAATTTTTAAGTCAGTTCTAAATATGCTCAATAAATCTGTCAAGATAGTGTCAAACTATTTTATAAAATTAATTGATTAATTAAACAAATTAATGTAAGAATAATACTTGCTTGAAAATCCAAAATGACACAATCAAACTTATAAGTCAGCGAATAGCCCACGACTTGATGGAAACAAGTTTAGAGCTTATTAGGGATAGCTTGAGTCCGTCACTGTGACTGACATAGCATGACCCGCAGACTTTGGGCCCAAATAGTTTGATCCGGGCTAGTCCAGTCCTTTGACAACGTAATCCATCCACTCCTGAAGTTTCTTGTGCGGATAGATCCATACTCTCCAAAATTTATAATTTTTCAAAAACTAAATTATAATTACAAAAAATATGATCGATCATAAAATATTATAATTGATTATAAAAATTACAATTTTCAAAATGTCAAAGTCGCACTTTTTAAAAATAAAATTATAACTAATTAAGAGATATTTATAATCTATCACCATATTTTATGGGGTTAATCTCAACTTGCACTTCGAATGATCACTCGAATCTCAATTTACACCCTCAAAGTTAAAAAATATTAATTTGCACTCTGAAAGACGTAAATTAGTATCAATGCACACCTGGAACTAACTGTCATCCATTTTGCCATTAAAAAAATTTGAGCTAATTATAAAATTGCATACTCAAAGTTTAAATATTTCACATTTATAATCCAAAAAGAATTACATCCATTAATGCTCATTAAATAGCTCTCAATTGTATCTTGTCGTGTCTAACTTCAAACAAAAAATAGATATTTATCGTGTCGTCTCTCTCTCTAACACACATCAATGTAACCCCTCTGTCTCTCTCTCACACACACACAATCGACGACATGCCACTCGACTAGCAACCCTAGATATCAATCAAAGGAGCAATCCTCAACAAGTAGTCTCCTTCGATGGCAACACAGGAAATGACAGGAGAAGAAGATTGAGAAAAAAAGGTGACCATTGAGGATTTGAAGAAGAAAATGGTTGATTTTGCAAAAGAGAGAAGTTAGGATCCATTATAACCCTAGAAATCTCCTCTTGGATCTGGTAAGTGTTTATGGTGTATCCCCGTCCTTCCAATTACATCTGGTTTTTCTAGACCATAAATCCCTATTGTCGTTTGTTTTTCTCTGATTTTCAAATCATATTTTTTTGGTTTTTTAGATCTGCCATCTCCGAAGCTCTCTCTCAACAATACTGCAATAGTTATATATATATATATATATATATATATATATATATATATATATAAACCCAATAAAAATGTTCCAATTCTGAAATTCCGCTCTGCCTCGTACAAACGAAGTCAGAAACGAAGTTACAATAGTTTAGGGTCGGAGTCGAAGGTAAAATTCACTCCAAATGTAGTCAGAGATCGGATACATGCCTTCTGGCTCCGACGGAGTTGGAGCCCACCCCTATTTGTGATTGCATTTGCATAAGTGCCGTCAAATTTAGTATTGTTAGGGAAATCGTCATCACCTTAAAACGTAATAATTTTGTAGATTTCGTGGAAAAAATTGATGTCAAATTACAATTGGAACACAAACGAACGAAGAGTTGAAAAAATGCATGAGATGTGGTCTTTTAATTGATGGCCACTGTTAATTAAACATAAAATTGTGAACTCAAAATAGTGAAAATTAGTGATCTAAAAATAGTAAAAAACAGGTAAACTTAAAATTGTGAACTCAAAAATAGTAAGAACAGTGAATTAAAAAAGCGAAAATTAGTGAACTACAAATAGTGAACACAAAAACAGTGTTGGGACTAATAAGACTTAGTCTTAATTTAAAACTAAATTTAATTGATTAAGAGATTTAGTTGGAAAGAAGAATAGATTGTGCTTAACTAATAAAATTGATTAGATTTTAATAAAATTGATTAAATTCATCAAATGAAAATAGCACGTTATGAGCTTAATATTGCTATATTTACTTGTCATGAATATTATTTGAGAATTTCGTGTATACCTATGTCATGTGAGAAGGGATTAACACTCTAGTTGTTTTCCTATTGGACGTTGGCTCACCCTAACATTTTTGCAGGGAATAGATCAAGAGATGACGAAAATTTCTTCCCGGAGCTATCTTAAATATCTGTACTCAGTTGGCTTACGAGATATTATATGTCATGTTAACGCTCGAGCAAATTCTAGATTTGTGACTTGTGTTTGGTTGTGTTGGTGTGTTTTCAAAACCGACGAGATGTAATAGTATCGATTATGGACTACTTTTGGGATAAATGTATAATTTGGGTACTTTGACTATGACATTAAATGCTGATTTGGGTTGTTGTTGGTTTGGGCTACTGCTGGTTTGAGGTTGGTGCTAGTTTGGCTATTTTTCTTCTACTATGCTTGGATTTTGGCTCTTGGGTTTTTGGGCTTCTTATTTTCTGATATTGGAGACTATTGTTTTACCGAGGACTTGGGCTTTGGTTTATTGGGCATTGTTGTTAGTTGTCTTGTTGTTTTGCTAGACTCTTTGTTCTTTTGGGTCATTATTTGCTATTTGGGTGTTGATCTATTGGGCTTGTTGATTTGTGTTGGATTTGGTTTAGGCGTGCTGATTTTGTATTGAATTTGGGCTGCCAACAAGTATTTTTGATATATTTGTGTTGGGCTTGTTGTGTTTGTGCTGGATTTGATAGGACTGTGTATATTAAATTTTTTGAGGTAATTTTGTACATTTTTCATATATTCATCAGCTCTAAATATTTATTGTTATCATTATGTGCACCGTTTTTTCCTCTTGCTAATTCTCATTTTTTTTAATTGATTTTTTTTTGCCCTCAGCCACAAACAATAACAAATAATAAAATCGATAATTAGCCAAAAACAAATCGGGTCAACTGCACCCAAACTTGGATTCGGAAGTTCCATGTCTAGGACAAGGTGCACTTCTCCTTGCCCCCATCAGCCGATGCCACGAACTCAAACGATTCAGGGTTTAAGCGGTCCAGAAAAGATGAGAGAGAATTGAAAAACCAACACTAATGCTAAAACCCTAAAAAAGTGGGGGTTTAAAAAAATGTGGTTTCAATTAGTTTATTCTTGTCTTCATAATCACACTCGAACCATCAGATTATCCAAATCAAATTTCTTCTCTCATCACACTGTAAGTAATTCTCATTTCGATACGTCCTTCTCTTTCTTTAATCGAATACATGTATATATTGTTTGTCTCTAATTTTCTGTTCACTTCCATTTTTTTTAGGTTTCTCCTTTGTATTCGATAAGGAATACGATATTTGGAAGCGAGGTTGGATTGAGAAAACAAACACTTCGGTTTTAGAATGAATTCAAATGTATGCTTTTGTTTCTTAGCCTCTGCTGTCTTTGGTTTATGGGTAAATTTTGTCCAAAAATTGGACATGAAACAGAATGTTTATATCATTCGTTTTTGTATGTTTATGTTCAAAGTGGAGTTTTTTTATAACAATATATTTTAAAATTTCTTGGTCCAACTAGAATGTTTGCTTAGCAAAATTGGTGGCTAATATGAGGAGGAAATGCAAGTTCTCTTTACTACCAAGCTTGAAGAGAGGAGTAATTGTATATGCTTATGATTCTAATCCTACGGAATCCGATTCTTATAGACAGGAAAGCACTAGTTTGCGGATTAATGAGGTGGAACCATTTCGTGGGAAATCAGGTTCCATTTCATTTGTTGGGGTGACTCATCAGTTGGTTGAAGAAAGTAAATTAGTGTCAGCTCCTTCTGCAGAAAGCACTGGCTCGTTTCTCTGGGCGTGGGCTCCTATTTCCCTGATTTCATCACTGGTCATTCCGCAGCTCTTTGTTGGTGCTGCAATTGATGGCTTCTTCGGTGATGAGATCCTCTCAGGTGTGTGGTCCATTAGTTTTCATTTAGGCCCGTCTGCAAATGGCAAAATGTAGAAATCAGTAATTTACTTTCTTCAACTAGATAGAAATGGTCGAAATAATGGTTAAATTTAATAGGTGCATCATTGATGGTGAAAATGCTAGGGGAAGGGAAAATCAAAATTTACAAGAAATGAAATGGTGATAGTAATATGGTTTCTTGAGGTTTAATTGAACACATAGCCACTGATAGCTTGGAATAGCAGAGCATGATTCATTTGGTGGACACCTAGTAATTGGGACACAACTTTGTTTGGTTTGATATATTCTCATTTCTCATCCTTTTGTGCAAATTATGTATTTGTTTGCCGAATATGTCAATCACTTGCAGACATTATTTTTTATTTGCATAACTTTGTGATAGTGTACTAAAATAGTCAATTCAACTTCTATCAAGTTCTAATAAATATAGAATTTTCCTTATCAACAAAATATGATAGTTTGCTACATAAATAGGTTTCTAAGCTACAAATCTTGGTTTAGTGACTTGAGTGGAAAGTAGTTCCAATCAGATCTCATTTTGAGCTAGATTGTTGCTTATGGCATGCTAGCAAATTGATGAACATGTAGTATATATTCTTGAAGAACTTGGAGAAATAACTTATGATCTCGATCTGTAATTTTATATTTGTAGAAGTATAGGTGCACACATTTTGTGTGCATACGTGCATGAATGCTTACTTTTGTTTTGGAGGCTAAGCATTACTTAGAAAGACTTTGGAGAAACTTTGCTTGCTTGTTTTGATTTTGTTCTGTGAGCATGAGTCGGGAACAAAATTTTTTAAATCCCACCAAATTAAAGTGATTGAATAGTTAAAGTACATCAAAGAGATGTTGATAAGTTAGTTCATGCCTTAGCTAGATTAAAGAGCCAAGAATCCATTCATCATTAAAACGTCAATCAGAGATTGTAAGGACATTATCTGAACCATCAGATGTATCTTTTGCAATACCAGCAACACTAGAGGAATTGGAAGGATTTGATTTTTTCTGTCCCCCTTTATTTTTCAACTTAAAACAATCACGCTTATAATGACCAATTTGATGACAATAAAAACATTCAACATTATTCTGTTTCTTCCTAGACTGCGATCGATATTCAGCTTTTCCTTCTCCTTTATCTGAATTTCTTTCAATGGATCGACCTCTATTATTATTAGAGAAATTATCATGACGACCCTTCACAAATAAACCCTCGGCTTGAGTATCACTGCCTTTACTGTTCAATTTAGTACGTGATTCCTTAGAATTCAAAGAGGATTTCACATCAATTAAAGAGATTGAGTCTCTCCCATACAATATCGAATTAACAAAATTATCAAACGAATCCGGCAGCGAGCATAACACAATCAGGGCTTGATCTTCATTCCCAATTTTAATATCAATATTTTTCAAGTCAATAATAATTTTGTAAATTAATCAAGATGTTCATTAATGGGCGTACCTTCTTTCATCTTGAGTGTGTACAACCGTTGCTTTAGATACAAGCGGTTGGCGAGGGACTTCTTCATATATAAACTCTCAAACTTTTTTCATAACCCTTCGACTTTGTCTTTATCGATAACCTCACGAAGAACTTCATCAGCAAGAGTCAACTGAATTGCACTGTGTGCTTTTTCTTCAATATCAACAACTTTAGTTTGATCTGTCTCTTTGGATAAAGTTCCATCAATAGCCTTTGCCAAACCTTGCTGACGAAGCAATGCCTTTATCTTGATCTGTCATAAACTGAAATTTTTCTGACCATCAATTTTTTTTATCTTGAATTTTGCTATAGCCATCCTGAAATCAATAGCTCTGATACCAATTTGTTATGAACAAAACCACAAACAAAATAATAACGTAACAAAATAGAAAAATAGAACACAAAGATTTACGTGGTTCGGCTCAACAAGCAAGCCTACATCCACGAACGAAAAACAACGTCAAAATTTTACTATTGAAAGGTTGGAGATTACAACGTTCTCAGAACAAATCAACGAGAAAACTAGATATCTGCTCTATTTCAATAATACAATATTTATTGAATTTAACAAAATAGAGCAATATCAATTTATCACACACAAAAAAAACTATTGTACCGTCGTCAATGGCCAACCACCAACTCACTGGAGAAGACGTCTTTTTTATCTAGCTTCTGGACTAAGGAATTTGATTCCTTGACAAAGTCTTTATGCTGAGGAGGTCTCACGTGTAGGACAAAAAACCAAAGACTCCTTGAAGGCTTTGAGTTTAAACAACAAAAATCCATGTTGGACTAAACTCCACTAAAATAATAAAATCAAGATAATCCTAATTAAGATCAAACTTGTCTATCAAGAACTCCAATGAAAACTCATGTCTTCAATTAGAGTCCATAAAAAAAAACAATTGACTTGAATACAAGTCATCACAACAGTAAGTAATCCGATTTTGATGCTTTATGTTCTCGTTTCCCATATGCCAACTTCAGCACGTTTGCGTTATAATTATTATTTTTGCAGCAATTTGAACGGCTTTTTCAGTTTGCCGGAAGAATTGAGGATTTTATGTTTACAATCACCCCGGAAGAGGTTACTGCCTGGGTGCTAGTGTCTTCTTCATGAAAAATATGAGTATATTGTCAGATAACTTATTAGAATGCCTCAAGTGTCCTTGAGCAAGGGTGCTATTGCATCACATTTGACTTTTTTGCTGTTTCCACATCATTACTGATAATAGGACTGGAACTATATAGCCAGGGCTTCTGCTCGTTTTCTTTATGGCTTGGTCTAGATTAAACTAAAATGCATTTTTAGATTAAAAATGTATGTGCATCGTCTAATCTCGTAACCTCTTGGTCTAAAATTATCATTATAAAGTTAAAGGACATGGGAAATGTGCCTCTAGTGCCTCTTATTTGAAAAATGCCAGTTCATAATTTTCATAAGCGCAAATATCTTATATATTTTAATATTATTGTTATCGGATGCCTATATATCTACTTTTTTTGACTACATTTTCTTAAGCGAGATTATGTTCTTAGGTATGACTTGGTACCTTTCAAATTCAAATGCTTTGTCAACTAAATACTTCTGAGCATGATGGAAGTAATTGACACCAATGATATTTTGAATAAGAAAAACAGGAAGAAATGACAAACTTGTGTGCAATTTTACTAGCGGCCTGAACATTCCCAAAAACCATTTTTGATGTCATGAGTTTTGGTTTGGGTAAAAAATTTTCATTTCCCTTTTCTGTCAAATTTTCCCCCGTTATTTCTTTGTTTGTTTTTCTTTTTTTTGTTTTTTCCCCCTCTTTCTTTCTGGGAGAATTAGTTAGTATAATTCTTCTAGGGGCATACTAACTTTAGGTATGACAATCGTTGTTACTATCACATCATCTCCAATATAAAACATTTTCAGTGTGTATAACACACCAAGTGGCAGAGCCAAGTGGTGTGCACACCCAATAAAAAACTGGCACAATACTAGCTTGTCAGGCACACAAGTTAGCATTTTCAAAAAAAAAAAAAAAAATCCTGAAAAATTCACAACTGGCAACAATTCATTTGGAATGGACAATAATTTATGTGTGATGTACAACTTCTACCTTTGGTTCCTGGCATGTATAACACAGAAAAATCTTTCGTCCAATATATGACGTATGACGGGTAGTAAAGATTCTATTCTTAGGGTTGATACTATGTCACTTTTATATATTTTAGATCCCATTCCAGATAGGACAATCGAAAATGGATCTTCAAAAGGTGGTGAAATCCAGTTTATCGCGGGTAAGTCGATTGAACCTTCCAAATAAGCATTGTTTATTTCCAGAAATGCTTTAGTAACACAATATTTATTGAACAGGTTGACAAATCCATCAGTGCAAATGTATAAGAAATTGTAGAAGAAGTTAACCTTGGAAGAACTCTTGCCTTCCCTATGGGATAAATGCAAGGTATTTTGGGTCTTCCTAGTAGCACGTTTGAAGTTCATTGGAATTCTAAAGTTCTGGCAATTTGGAAATTGAATGACTGTATCATCCTCTGATGAAGAACCTAATTGGAGAAAATCAAAAAGAAAACACAGAACAAGGATTTATTTTTCGGTGCAATAGCCCTATCCAAAAAATATCAGTACCTTAATGGACAATAGTTCTGATGTCATATTTCTTGACAATAAATCTGATGAGAAAGCCAGCTCTAATTATTTTAACTTTGTTTCCCAGGGGAGTATAGGCAGCTTTGAATTTGACTCATTTATTCTATTTGAATTCGACTTAATGGTTAACAATCTTTGCTATGCACTATTGATTGACACTAGGAGTTAAAGAATTTCTTGTTTGAATAATTGATAGAAGGAGTTTCTGGACAAGTACGATAACTTTGCACAACTTGTTGCCAAGATTTACCTTGACGAGACAATTCCATTGATAGCAGAAATGAGAGAGCTTTTGGCATCCATGTAGAGAGAGACAGTTGCGCTTGTAAATCTTCAGGAGTTCATTTCAGAGTTCACATTAGTTTTATTCTGCTGTAAGCACTTTTCCCATAATAGACCCATTTTAGATGCATCAAAATGGTTCTACTAAACCTCTACAGACAGGAGATAGACTATACGTATAAATCTCTACAGACAGGAGATAGACTATACGTATAAACTCATGCGAGAAAGAAAATGGGGATGGATTTGCCCTTATCCTGTTCGATTTTTGTTATACCCGTTAAATATATATATATATATAAATAAACTCTCGGGCTTAAAACGCGAAGGCCCCTATCAGTAGCGCCGCCTGCCTCTCTCTCTCCTCTGGCTCTAAGCTGAATCGCTGATAGCTGTCGCTGCACTCCTCTCCTCTCAACGGCGACCGTTCCTCTCCTCTCAACGCTCAACGCCGACTGCTCCTCTCCTCTCAACGCTCAACGCCGCTCCTCTGGGTATGGATTCTTCTTCCCTGTGATGAAAATAATGCTCAACTTTCCTGTGGGTATGCGTGTTCTTGCCGTGGATGATGACTCAACTTGTTTGAAGCTACTAGAGGGGTTTTTGCTTAGGAAATGCCAGTATCAGGGTTTGATTCCTCTCTGTTTTGCTTGTTTCTTCTCTATGTCAATTTTTATTTCATTTATCGAAATTGGTTATATTATATAATTGTTATCTGTTAATTTATTTGATATAATTTGCTTTTCTTTTGTTGAGTAATTGGAATTCTGCTGAATGATTGATAATTTGTTGTTGTGGATTGATCAATAGATTTAGGGTTTTCCGGATTTTGTTTAATTCTTTGGTTTTGGGTTTGAAAGCGCTTCTCAGATCAATTTTATTGTGTTCTTTTTCTTCTAATTAAATATTGTACTTCGTTAGGGCCATTGCCTGGATGTATAGAAACTGTAACTAGCTAAACCGGCTCAATTAAGAATCTGAGTGAACCTTTTCTCTGCTTAGACTCATTGGGGGGAAGACGAGTGGTAAATATTAGGCCGAGTAGAAGAGGGTGAAAACAGATTACAAAAAACAAAGGTTGATGCATGCAGGGTTAGATGAATAGATCAAAAGGGTGGTGGTGAAGTTCTCATAGCACTAGTAAGATTACCATTACGGTCTTCTATTTTTTGTCTTTTTCTTGTAAATATTAATTTTCAGTTTATTAATACACACACACACACACAGATATATATATATATATATATATATGCATGTATGTGTACTGTTTAAAAAGCTGTTTTGTTGTTGTAGTTGTCTCTCTCTCTCTACAAATGCATGTGTGTGTATGTAGTAGAATTTTTGTTTGTTAATTTGGGTGCCTATTTCATTAATTGGAATTGGTTTGTTGTTTTGGTACCATGTAGTTGTCAGTTTCTTGTCATGAGTTTGTACTCAATCAATCAGATTTTGGGTCTCAATTTTTGTGTCTTATGTAATTTGTTAGAGGTTTTACTGAATTAGTGTTCAGTTATCTTCCTCTCCCTCGCAAAGTAAGCATTTGTTTTCCCCCTCTACATGATCTGAATTCAGATTAAAGTTCCACTTTGTAGTTTTAAGGGTATACAAAATATTGTGAAACATGGTTTTGGTCAATCAAACATGATTAAGGGTATACAAAATCAAACATGGTTTTTGTCAATCAAACATGATTTGGATTTATTTAGAATTTTGGATTATGTTGGCTTGAACTTGGGTTTGGACTTGGGCTTGGGCTTGTACGGGAAAGCGGGGACGGGGACAGGGATGGAGATTAGAAATTTACCCGTGGACGGGGATGGGGATGGGGATGGGGATGAAGATTTATACCTGTTAACGGGTGTGGACCGGGGATGAACGGAGTTTTTTAGGTAGGTATGGGGATGGAGACTACACCCCCCGCCCCCGCTTCGGTCCACTGACATCCCTAGTCACATTATAACACTTTTGATTCATTGTGGGTGTAATGTAAAAAATTTAATATTTGAGGGTGTAAAATGATAATCTTAAAAATTTTCAAGATATAAAGTACAATTCACCCTATATTCACAAATATTTTCCAATGTTAAATCTGAAACTATTATTGACACGTTTGGCAAATATTCAACTTCAGCAACTCGGATACCCTCTGGAAAATTTGCCAAAAAGATTGATAATAATTCACTATCTGGAGAAAGAATTATACTGGCTGCATAATTCAAACATTTTTTGGATATTTTATTAAATGAAAAAGGTCTTCTAGTACATGAGATTTTCACCACTACAGAATTTTAGAGACGGGAGTAATTGTATGTTATCTTATTTTTGCATGTAAAAAAATTATTTCAGCTACTCAAATTATTCACGTCAACCCCAAAGGGTAATTTAAGTGGTAATAGGCTCAGGACTCTTGAGTTTAAATTTTGACAACTTTTTGGGTCTAGGTATTGTGGAATTTATTCGTCATGAATGTCTTAGTCCTGACATGGATAACCTGTTTCTGATTGGACCGGAGAAGAGTTTAGTTGAAATGCGCGTAAGTTAGTTCAGACACCCCTAACCGTTGTTTAAGTTACACTAGAACAACTTGTTCGTTACGTCAAGCTTGGCTCCCGTATTATATCTCATATAACTCCAAAACAATATGGAAGGAAAAAAAATAGAACAATGTATATATGATAAACGAAGGGAGGAAAAAATACAAAAGAACAAACTACCTAAGATGGAAACAATGTCTAGCTAGTATTATGTACTTTTATCTATGCCTTGTTTGTTATTGCTCTGTTGTTACAAGTGTGATCTCTTTGCTTTGGCCTTTTGGGCAGTGTAGTCCACATCCAAGCTATTAAAAAATATTGATCTGACAAGGTTTTGCTTCTCTTGTGTGTTAGTAACATATGCAGCAGAGAACTTTGATATCCCTTAGCTACCTGTCTGCTGGTAGTATCACCAGTAGAAAGTCTGGAGAGAAGAAAGATACAAGCTGAGGAAATAAAGGCAGCTCCAGCAAAACAAGCAAGATCCAACCCAGTAACCAAAGGTATACTCTTGAATTTCTCCAACATCCCTACTTGAAGTATCATCATCATAGCTTGCCCAATGTTTGACTTGGCTTGCTTAACTGACTGGGTTCCTACCCATGATGGCAGTGTCTGAAAGAAAATTTAGAATATATTTAGAGATCTTCATATATGCCAAACTGATATTTATTTTATCTATTTGGAAAAGCAATCTGGTTGATGATATTTTTGTCGCTTGAGAGATCTTGGGAGATTTGATTTTACATTGTCTTGCCCCGGGAGTGGAGAGGTTGTTTGCTTAACTCAAATGTCAAATCCATGACTTGATGGTCACAATATGGATCTATTTTACTGATGCGCTAAAAACCCAAACTTTATACTAATTTAATGTAATTTGTGCATGAAAAGTTTAGGTATAAAAAAACAGCTTCACCTTGAGATAGAAAAGCCCGAACAAGTTTGACCTGGAAGCTGAGACCCTTTTCCTTTCGATCCCACAAACATGACATGCAATGCCATCCCAAAAACAAGCATTGCAGTTCCTACCAGAAACACATTGCACAACAAATTCACCTATTTCATTTTAGCTATAATGTCAACTTGCAAAATGTGAATTGAGAGAGAGAGAGAGAGACAATACCTATGGATTCAATTAGTAGCTGTATCACATGTGATTGATCTGATCTTTCTGAAAGTGCATGGAAATACTGCAAATATGAATCTACAAACATAAAAGAACCCTGAAATAAAAATGTCATATATGTATGTTATACCTCTGTTGAACACAAAATCTCAAGTGCTAATTATAAGTTAATGTAAGAGAAATCATCAGAATGTTCATAGTTGAAGACTATGTTTACCTCTACAAAGCCCAAAACTGAACCAAGCAAGGATCCTGCAACTGCCAACATTGTAAAGAATCGGCAGTCAATTATAACCTGTACAAGCAAAAAGTCAGAGAGTTTAGAACTTTAGATGATCAGCTGTAAAATATTTTTTTTCTATATGGTTCTTGGGTTTTTCCTTTGACAACAAGAGTATTTTTTTTTTGGTTCAACCGTCATGAGAGTTTGGGCTAGCTTATGCACATTTCTATCAATCCCTTCTCTGGTTTTGTAAAAAATTGGTTATTTATGTTGGAACTAAGGTATTCATAAGAAATAAATTTCTCATAGTCCGACTCCAAAGAGAATGTTTTTAATCAATACAACTCAACTAAGACACAATATTGACAGATACTTTGAAATACCGGCCACAATTAGTGTTTAGGAGTTGAATATAATTGAAAGGAAAGATTTTGAAGTACCTTTTCAATGAACATCTGAACAAGTAACTTCCATGGCTTTCGTTTGGTAACCACCTTGAAGTTTTGCAGCACCAAAGCTTTAACATTTGCCAACAATAACGTCAGATCTACTACTCCACCCGTCCGAGGTTATCACCAACACCCTCTTGGAAACAGCCGCCGATGCCTTTACCGCCACCATCAGTTTCTTCTCTCCGTCCCCATTTCTCTCTCCATTGAAACCCACCTTGTTCAGACACATCAGTTTCATCGTTGTTGATGACATTGAGGGATTACTCAGATTTGAGAAAGATGAGGATGTACCAAGACCCACAGGTTTAGACATTCTTAGCAATCTAGGGTATAAAATTTTGAACTCTTTTCTGTTTTATTATATAGATTTTATGAAAGTGAATATCATTATTTCACCATTTTTTTTCAAACGGTATCAAGTGGCCAACACGAAATTGTTTGATGGAGATTAGGAAATGGTTTTCAACTGTAAATATGTATAATTTTTTGTGTTAATTGCATTAGAGTTCCCTAAAGTATAGAGTTTGTCTCATTTTAGTTCTCAATGTTTCAATTGTATCATTTTGGTTCTTGAAGTATTGAATATATTTTTATATGGTTTTTCAAGCAGATAACATCCGGATTGTTAACATTTTTTAACATAATTTGTCACGTAATATTTTTTAAGAAGAATTTTGTTAATCATATGAAATTGGATGTTGACTTGATTGTTGGGTGTTATGAAATATGGTTTTGGTGATTATTTTGATGAAATTTTGTTAATCATAAGCACACTCAACAAAAAAGTGATCCATAGTTTCCACATTTTGATAACACATGCATCATCTGCTCACCAAAGATACACCTATTCTCACAAAATTCAAATCCAAAGGCAAGGCATTACACAAAATTTTCCAACCAATTAATTGAGCACTAGGAGCAGTAATAGTCTTCCAAGTAAGCCCAGCCAGCTCATTCACCACCTCCTTGTTCCTACTCAAATGCCAAGCTGTTTTGAGAGCTAGTTTTCGAATATTATCCAGTCCGTGAGTTGCAAAATCAAAGAGGTTAGAGGGACCCCCGACATTGTGTCTGGGGAGACTCCTCCGATGCCTAAGTCAGTATTGCGATTAATATTTGAATGGGCTAGGGTATAAAGCTAGAAAAATGATAAAAGGTGTGTGTGTGGAGTATGGAGCCACGATGCTCATACTTGAGGCCCCCACCTTTAGTTCTTCACCCATCTTTATAGAGAAAATGGAGAGTTACTTATCATTGTGAGGTCATGCTCCTTGAGTTGATATATTCTTGAGATATGTGTCTTACATTGCAAGTATTAAAAACTGTGTTCGACACCAATTGGTCAATCAACAAGATTGTCAGCTTTGTATTATCTTTAGAAGATAAAACTTGGATCATATTATAATACACCCAGGTGATGTAGGGCCTTCCCCATTGATGCAAAATGTGGTCCATCAATTCTTTTCCTTTTGACTGAATATTAGGTCTTTACACCCTTAGTCTAAGCTCTTTTAGGTTAAAGAGAAATAGAATTACAGGATTAGAGCATTGAGAAACAGGAGCGATAAATATTTTCAGCGTCTGTGTAAAATTATACATGCATGCCATATGTTGCATCAACTTCCAATAAGTGATGTTGATCATTCCCTCTATAATAACTCCAACATAGGTATAGGTTTTTGGCAGAGTTCAACTTGGAAAACTTCATAGAACTCCTTGACCAAAGATTTGTGGGTGATATCAGTCAGAAGGTTATCATCGCCATGACGAATATCCGTTGTTCCGTGTCCATCAGATGATAAAGATTATCCCAGCAACCCTTTTATGCTTCCAACTCGACGATCCTGTATCCCACATGGGACTATCCATTGAAAGGGTGTTAGATCTGTTGTGACATTCAGTGCTAAGCTGTGATATGCTATCCACTGTGATACTCGTATCCCAACAGCTGCAAGTTTCTCATCTCCTGATGCAAGTGAATTTGTAAGGCTCCTAATGTTTTATCTCCACAATACAGAGGATCAACATAACATACTGTTATTATAAAAGGAGCTTAAACCAAAGGTGTAAATCAGGGTACCATTGAAATTCATGATTAGTTCTTAGTTGTAATTTGTTGAACCTAAAAAAAAGAGAAAGAAGTATACGATAATGCCCTTCTAAATCAATCTTGTATTTAACAAATTCTAAGAAACTGGTAAATAAGGAGTGAACTAACTTTTCTGGGGTTCACATAGAATAGTGTACAGAGAGCTCTAACAGCAATCCATCTTTTGCAAAGCCAGTAAATTGGTGGGAATGTTGAAGTAAACACTTTAAAGCTAATGCAAACATACTAGACTTACCCGAAGTACATCATATAAACTACTAAAACCATCGGTGAAAGGATTGCAAAACATACCAACCCAAACACCAGTTAAACCCTCTAACCGGGAAGCCTTGAACGAAAATGTTGAGGAATGAACACGAATGACCACCTCCTCTAGCGTCCTAAGGTACCAATGAAGATCCATCTTGTGACAACGGAGATTGATAATAGGGTACATAACTAGCTACATTGCAACAAAGATGCATAATATGCTAGGTACACAAAAGAACCAAAAAGGGTAGACCTTTCAATGCATTGTTGCACAAATGAAACTTCAAAGCTCAGCCATGACATTAGGTTTTGGGAAGAAGGGTGCAAGTAAAAACTTAAGACTATTAAGTCACATTGCGCTCTCTATCATATTCATAGAAGCATACTTATAGGAAGAAATAGGTTGTCCATGTGATTCAATACTTTTTTTCTCTGATTTTCTATGCATATCATAGTTCAATGGCATTGAATTCTTTGACACTAACAACATGGAAGTCAAGGATTTTAATCACAGAATTTCAAGCCCTTATTTTTATTTAACCAGGTTTAAACGTTTTTGGATTTTAGATGACAATAATGTGTGATGTGACAAAATCTTCTGTGGAACACACTAAATTTGGATTAGCATGCCGCGTTCAAATACAATTAACAACCAATTGCAAGAAAGAGGTAATAGGAACAACTCTTAGAAATGTGCTAGGAAAGTAGATGACACTACCTGACCAGGCCCATGATATATAACTTCACCACCGCGTTAGGTTCGATAATATTTTCTGGCTACTTGTGCCTCAATAATATTTCTTCTTCTTTCTTTTATCTTTTCTATAATTAATCAAAGTTAACATGGTATCAGAGCATGTTTCGATCCCATGATTAGAGTAACCCAGCTCAAGAAAAACAAAATCAGAGGGTCAACGAAGGATGTCATTCTCATTGTCTGCAAATCTTGCTTGAATTCTCACTGTCCAGGATTTGAAGCCTTGGAGTTCTGGTTCATCACATCGTTGTTTGCTGCTCTAGGTCCCTGGGTCCATGTTCGCTTTTCACTGTTCTTTGTTGTGATGATGCGCCTCTATTCAAATAAATATCAGATTGATTTACTATTATTTGCTGCGTTTCTACTCCAATTGGTGGATGTTTCTTTGCTGCGTTTTTTTTTTGCTATTCTTTGTTTCGAAGTTGCTTCGAATCACCCCCAAGAGGTCTTTCTCGACTTGATTCTTCATCGATTGTTCTTGCTGATTTTCAGAGGTTTGGTTCTGTGCTTTCTCTTCCTCTATTGTGTCGTCTTCCCAATAAAAGATGAAAAAGACGAGATGCTAATTTTGTAGATAAGAACCAATTCTTTGGTTCTTATATTCTTTGGGCTCTTGCTGGTTGGGCTGTTACTTTGTTGGGCTAGTGTTGGTTTGACCTAATTCTTTGGGTCTAATTTGCTTTGGGCGCTTACTGATTTGGGTTGTTGTTGGTTTGGGCTAGTGTTGGTTTGGCTATTTTTCTTCTATTATGCTTGAATTTTGACTCTTGGGTTTTTGGGCTTCTTATTTGCTGGTATTGGAGACTATTGTTTTACCGAGGACTTGGGCTTTGGTTTATTGGACATTGTTGCTGGTTGTCTTGTTGTTTTGCTAGACTCTTTTGCTCTTTTGGGTCATTATTTGTTATTTGGGTGTTGATCTGTTGGGCTTGTTGATTTGTGTTGGATTTGGTTTAGGCTTGCTGATTTTGTATTGAATTTGGGCTGCCAACAAGTATTTTTGATACTTTTGTGTTGGACTTATTTTTTTGTGTTGGATTTGATAGGACTGTGATTTGAATAATTTTAGTTATTTTAATGGCATTTAATATAATATTGGGAAAATTACATCTATACCCCTTAAGGTTTGTCACTTAATCACTCAGACCCTCAGATATTTGAAATATTACACATAGATCCCTTGAGGCTTGTACACGAGTAACACTTAGACCCCTGTTGTAAATATATTAGTTAATAAATTATACTTAGACTCCCCTGAAGTTTGTAGGTATATAATACTTAGACCATTTAAGTTTGAAATATTGTACTTATACCAAAAATACTCCAATAAAAGATAGAATATCAAATATTTTAAATTTTACAACTATAATTGATGTTCTATTGTATCATTTATTAAAATAAAATTAAAAATAAATTTTTAATTTTTTAAAAAAAAATCATAATTAGTATACAATTATACTATCTATTGGAATAAAACTAAAAAATCAAATAAAGGGTCTAAGTCATTCATAATAGAACATGAATTTTACATTCAAAATTCATGTTATATTATGTCATTATTGAAAAAAAATTAAAAATAAAAATCTAGTTTAAAAAAAAAATCATAGTTAGTATATAATTATACTATCTATTAGAATAAAACTAAAAAATTAAACAATAGATCAAACTGTAATAGACACAATATCTTTAGCTTTAATTGGGATAATTTGGTATTTTAAACGACCAAATTAAATTCTAATAGACAATATAATTGTATACTAATTTTTTTTTTAAAAAAAAAAATTAAATTTTTATTTTTTGATTTTATTTGAATAAATGATACTATAGAACATGAATTTTGGTTGTAAAATTTAAAAAATTTGATATTTTATCTTTTATTAGAGTATTTTTGGTGTAAGTATAATATTTTAAACTTAAAGGGTTTAAGTATTATATATTTACAAACTTAAAGGGGTCTAAGTATAATTTGTTAATTGATATATTTACAATCAGGGTCTAATTGTTACACGCGTACATACTTAAGGGGATCTGTGTGTAATATTTAAATGTCAGGGGATTTGAGTGATTAAGTGACAAACTTCAGGAGGTCTAGTTGCAATTCTTCTTATAATATTTTTCAGTTTTTTAGAAGTGAGTTTGAATTATTTCATGTGTAATTGAAGGATTGAGGCGAGTGAAGGCTATTTTGTACATTTGTTTGCTCTTTGGTTATGTAAGGGGTGGTGCAGAGGGTTTATAGTCTTGATTGTTATGTTTGCCTAATATTTTATGAAATTGTGTTTATAGCCTTGACTTTTATTTTGCCTAATATTTTAGTTGATTTGCATTTTAATTAATTTCTTTTTCACTACTATGGGCTAATTAATGAATGTAATGAGTAATAGCTTTTAAAGGTAAGATGATAATTATTTAAACTGCGTATATGTTTAATTTTTTGAGTTAGGTTTTTGAGGTAATTTTGTACATTTTTTATATATTCATCAGCTTTAGATATTTATTGTTATCATTATGTGCATTATTTTTTTCTCTTGCTAATTCTCATTTTTTTTAATTGAATAGAATTTTTGTCGTACAGTATCTTCAGCCACGGCACAATAACTAATAAATAAACCGATAATTAGCCAAAAACAAATCGGATCAACTGCACCCAAA